TGAAGCGGAAGGATTGCCGGAGCCCAGCGGGTCGAGGCTGTGGTGGCCGGGAGCGGCTGCTGCACTCCAGTCTGGGCAACAGAGTGAGACTCCAACTCAAAAAAAAAAAAAGTACCAGAAAAACCTTTTAATGCTTCATTGGAGTTGAGGCCTAGAGATGACGATTTAGTCCAACACCCTTTAAAAGAAAAGAGTAGATTCTGTGGCAGAGGACATTTCATGCTCTCCCAGGGCTGAATTCAGTGCAGGAGAGGGAGGATGGCCTATTCTCCCGCGTGGGAGGTGGGCATCATCTGGTCCCATCACTCATGGGAAAGAAGATTTAATCTAGTCCACAAACCCTTCATCTGAATCCGAAAGGTCACAGGCTGGAACCCACAGACCTGCACTCTGATCCAATTCACGCTGATTCTTGGGTAAGTCACCTGGCATATTTAAGCATCTCTGAGCTTTCTCCTCCATAGAACGAGGAGCTGACACAGGTGACGGCTAAGGGCCCTCTTAGCTCTGATCACCTGAGATTCTATGATGGTTAATGTTTTCCAGCCTGCTTCCTTGGGTGCTTCAGAAATTCTTCCTTTCCCCTCAAATCTGGGTTTCATTTGCTTCATTAATTAAACACGTAGACTTGCAGGCCCTATGCCAGCCACTGCGTCAGGTACGAGGAACACAAAGAGGAATAAGACATAATACGTAACTTCCGGGAGCAAACAACCTAAAGGCGAGGAAAGGCAAACACAGGGACACACGTTTAAAGTACAATGCGGTGAGTATGTTACATATTTGACACAAAATGGAGTATGTTACATATTTGACACAAAATGGAAGCATAGTAGAAGGAGGAATTGGTTTGATCTGGCCAGACTAGTCAGAGACATGTTCAAAGAGGAGGGAACATCTGAGCAGGGTTCTTAAGGGTGAATAGGAGCTCATTAGGGAAGAAGGGAAGGAAAGGCATCACAGAGCCCCAGGGTTCAAGAACTGGCTGGACGTCCAACATGGCTTAGCAAGGGGAGTGGGCGATGAAGAGAAACGTATGAATAGGCCTATGCATCAGTAGGTGCTAATGAACTTGCAGATCTCACTGCCAGGGCCTGTCCACTGGACTGCTTCCTACAGGATACAGAAGAACCTCTGCCTTTAATCTGTGATACAACCAGAGAAGTAACAGTGTATCGCTCTGGAAATATTCTGGATATTCCATTATAGGCTAGGATGGCCTCCGATCCGGATGATTTGAGACAAGTTCAGACTAAATAAAAAATTACACAACTCCTAGGCAGATGTGCTTTCTTGGAGACTGACTGTGAACCAACCGTAAGAGGTTCCCTGGCTCTATTTCTGCAACTTCTGGCCTAAGTCACCTTGTTGCATTCCCTGCCGATCTCATCTAGATGCCTGACTGCTATATCTGAGACTCTGTCCAGTATCTCTTATTCAGTGTTGGTATGGGTAGCAGCTACTGGAGAGAAATTCCCTGTCCAGAATACCGCAATGCTCGATTATTTTCATAGATGTTGTTGTTGTCATTGTTTTTAGTCTCCTGCTAGTGAAGGTGGGGCTCTAAAATTAAGTCCAACTTAAATATTATAAATTTCGAATGCAAAGACATTAGGTACAAACAACTCAAAGGCCTATCTATTTTTAAAACTCTGCTTCCATGAGAGTAATCACTTAAGCAGAAATCAGACAGCTCTCACACTTTTGCTAAATGCACAAAAGTAAACCTCAGCTCATTTCTGGATCATGTTCTATTCCTTATTATAGCACAAAGGAATCCTATTATAGTCTGATGTACTTCTCCTGGACCCTGGGCTTTCTGGGATTTCATACTTCAAAGCAGTGGTTCGCAAAGTGTGGTCCATAGTAGGACTGTTAGAAGTGCAAATTGTTGTGTTTCACTACAGATCTATTGAATCAGAAACTCTGGGAGTGAAACACAACAATCTGTGGTTTAACAAACCCCGCAGGTGACTCTGATGTTTGCTCCAGTTCAAGAACCACTGCTTTAGGGGTTCCACCATGGCCCTCCTCCAACTGCAACCTCCCCATAAGGCGAGGCCAACCCAGAGTTAGTCTACTGTTGTGGCTGCCGCTGGCCTGCAACTGTCCACGTGACAGTCAAAGGTGGGGTAGGGGTTCCTTCCCCTTCCTAGATCATACTCCTAGGACCCATCACCCCAGAATCCCCATCCAACCAGCCCTGAGTCTGCTAGAGCTAAAGAAAGAGAGGGCTCTTCTTAAGACCCCTGAGGTTAATCAATAATATTCTGATCAGTTTCAGCCATGAAGCTTATATTAATGGTAAATGGTTCAAAATTCAATCTGTATATAGTTTAAGGAAACTGTGCTTCTGCTGGTGGTTTACCAGGAAATGATAAACCTGCAGTCAGAGAAACCTGCTATCTGTGTCAACCAGAATCCCCATATGGACTCCATGCTTGAACTTTGTGGAAGAGTCCATCTACCTCCCTGACTCTCACTTTGTGCTAACCCCAGTCCTCTACAGCAGTGGCTCTTGACCTTGGCCATACATGAGAATCTCCTGAGCAGCTTTCCAAACTCCTGCCACCTGTGTCCCACCTCCAGCGGTTCTGATTTAACTGATCTGGAGTGTTGCCTGGGCATCAAGATTTTGTAAATCTCCCTAGGTGATCCCAACATAAAGCCAGGGCTGAGAGCCACTGCTGTCCCAGATGAACAGGAAGCTTGGCATTGGCTTTGATGAGCTAGTAATTAGGAGAAATTATCAAGACATTCATATATGTCAGAAAATATGAAGTACAGGTGTGGCCTCATTAAAAACCACAAGAAGGTATGTGAATTTAGCTGGACAATCCTCTGAGGAATGTTGTCCCTGTCTCTCCTCCCCACCTCACCCACTAATTGTCATTTGTGAATCGGAAGGTTTTCTATTTACTTCTCACATACCACCTAAAACATCCTTTGCTGTGGGTGATATGGTTGGCCTGTTATTAACAAGTCCAAGGACTC